GATTACAGGTGCAAGCCACCTCACCCAACCCAAAACCATTTTTTCTTTCTTTTTCTTTTGTGAGACAGTCTTTCTCTGTTGCCCAGGTTAGAGTGCAGTGGAGTGATCTCCGCTCACTGCAACCTCCGCTTCCTGGGTTCAAGTGATTCTCCTGCCTCAGCCTACTGAGTAGCTGGGACTGCAGGCGTGTGCCACCACTCCTGGCTAATTTTGTATTTTTAGTAGAGACAAGGTTTCACCATGTTGGTCAGGCTGGTCTTGAACGCCTGACCTCGTGATCCGCCTGCCTCAACCTCCCAAAGTGTTGGGATTACAAGCGTGAGCCACTGTGCCTGGTTAACACTCCTATTAAAAGGCAGAGATTGTCATATTGAAAGACCCAACATGTTACCTACAAGAAATAAAATTTAAAAATAAGGCCAGGCATATCCATGTCAAAAATTAGTTGGACGTGGTGGCGCACGCTTGTAGCCCCAGCTACTCAGGAGGCTGAGGCAGGAGAATCACTTGAACCTGGGAGGCGGATGTTGCAGTGAGCTATCGCACCACTGCACCCTAGCCTGGGTGACAAAGCGAGACTCCATCTCAAAAAAAAAAGATACACTTTTTTTGTTTTGTTTTTGAGTCAGAGTTTGCTCTGTTGCCCAGGCTACAATGCAGTGGTGTAATCATAGCTCACTGCAGCCTCCACCTCTAGGGCTCAAGTGAGCCATCTCAGCCTCCCCAGTTGCTGGGACGACAGGCACACAGCACCACTCCTGGCTAATTTTTGTATTTTTTGGGTAGACAGGGTTTTGCCATGTTACCCAGGCTACTGTTGTAACACTAGTCAAAACAAAGTTGTTGGCCGGGCGAGGTGGCTCACGCCTGTGAACCCAGCAGTTTGGGAGGCCATGGTGGGCAGATTACTTAAAGTCTGGGGTTTGAGACCAGCTTGGCCAACATGGTGAAACTTCATCTCTACTAAAAATATAAAAAAGTAGCCGGGTGTGGTGGTGCATGACTATAATTCCAGTTATTCCTGAGGCAGAGGTTGCAGTGAGCTGAGATTGCGCCACTGCACTCTGGCCTTGGCAACAGAGTGAGACTGTCTAAAAAAAAAAAAAAAAAAAAAAAGATGGAGGTATGCAGTTATGAGCAAATTGCTAATGTTTTCAGAATTTCAGTTTATTATTAAAAAAATAGAAATAAATCCTACCTCACGATTTTGTGAAGATAAAAAGCTAGAGTAGCAGAAAAAGATTTCTCAGCAGAGTATTTAAAGGAATCAGTTAATCCAGAGACAATCTAAAACATGTATACAACTAATAACAGAACTTCAAGATATATGAAGCAAAAACTGATGGAACTGCTAGAAGGAATATAAAAATCCACAATTATAGTTGGAGATTTCAATACCCTTCTCTCAATAAACGATAGAGCAAAGTAGGAATAAAACTAGCAAGGATAGCCACGCGCCATGGCTCACGCCTGCAATCCCAGCACTTTGGGAGGCCGAGGCGGGCGGATCACCTGAGGTCAGGAGTTCAAGACCAGCCTGGCTATCATGGTGAAACTCCATCTTATAAAATAATAAAAAAACAAAAATTAGCCAGGCATGGTGGTCCCAGCTACTCCGGAGGCTGAGGCAAGAGTCGCTTGAACCTGGGAGGTAGATGGCTCCATTGTATTCCAGCCCGGAGACAGTCATTTTGTGACATGAAATTGAGGTAGAGGGGCTAACTCATCCAAGTTCTCGTGAACAGCAAGTGTTGGTATCAGGATTCAAACCCAGGCAGTCTAGAACTCCTAAGTTGGGCAACCAATACTGTCTGCCTACACAAAGAACAAGGCCAGAAGTCCCTGTTTTGTAAGTCTAAAGGAAGGGGTATTGCAAGCTGAAGTTTAGCAGAGTGGAACCTGAACACCCACTGACAGCTTTGCTTCAGCTATACCTTGAAGGTGGATAGAAATGCATTCACTTCCTGCCCAGCACAGCAGTTACCCAACCCCACCCTGTGAATATGAATTGAAAATATACTAAACCCATTGGTTCAGATTAAAAAACACATTTTACTCAGGAGAGATCTGTGTAGTTAGAGCAGTACACGGATGGGACTGGGCATACATATATGAATGGGACTGACTCATCTGGCTTCTTGAGCAGGTAATGCGTTTCTGCAGAGGTGCCACTTCTAGCTGTGGACCTGGCCAATTAGCCTTTCTGTTCCCATGGGAATATGCTGTATTAAAACCCAACTTGCTGGGTGCAGTGGCTCACCCCTGTAATCCCAGCACTTTGGGAGGCTGAGACAGGTGGATCATGAGGACAAGAGATCAAAACTATCCTGGCCAAGGTGAAAGCCTGTCTCTACTAAAGTAAAGTACAAAAATTAGCAGGGCATGGTGTTGCCTGCCTGTAGTCCCAGCTACTCGGGAATCTGAGGCAGGAGAATCGCTTGAAGCTGAGAGGCAGAGGTTGCAGCGAGCAGAGATTGTGCCACTGCACTCCAGCCTGGGAGACAGAGCAAGACTGTCTCAAAGACAAAAAACAGCTGCAGCTAATTTTTGTATTTTTAGTAGAGACGGGGTTTCACCATGTTGACCAGGATGGTCTCGATCTCTTGACCTCGTGATCCACCCACCTTGGCCTCCCAAAGTGCTGGGATTACAGGCTTGAGCCACCGCGCCCGGCCAAGTCTCAATCTCTTGACCTTGTGATCTGCCCACCTCAGCCTCCCAGTGTTGGGATCACTTAGCTTAAGGAAAATCAAGCTGTGTATTCCCCAAGATCAGCTAGTAACTAGCTCCCATTGTCAAACCAATCCTGCCCTTAACACCCTGACAGTTCCAAGCTCTATGGTCCACCAAACTCCAATCTCACCCACCTCCCTCTAAACTGTCCCCATCATCTTAAAAAAGGCTTCATGGCTGTCCCACCTCCCCATATGCCAGTAGCTATACTTTACCTTCTAGATGGTTCCCCACTAGTCCCCATCCTTTGTTACTGAACATTTCTTATGTTGGCAGCCAGTGCAGGGGGCTTGACAAAGGTTCCATTATGACTCATATCATGAGGCTAGCAATTCCATCAAGTTTCAGGCTGAGTCGCACCACTTAGGTACAGGTAGCAGAGGCCTAACCAGCTCATCAGCTAGTGATACAACCTCCCTGTTACTAACAGATTCTCCTCCACTACATTGTGGGTTACTAAAGGATTGGTTTTAAACTAATCTTGCACTCAACCCAGACTTGTGGTCATATTGGTCAGGATGTAACATCCATTTTCCCAATAAACTGCCAACATAAACTGAATCCAGGCTGGGTGTAATGGCTCACACCCGTAATCCCAGCAATTTTGGGAGGCTGAGGTGGGTGGATCACCTGAGGTCAGGAGTTTGAGACCAGCCTAACAAAGAAACTGTCTTTACTGAAAATACAAAAATTAGCTGAGCGTGGTGGTGCATGCCTGTAATCATAGTTACTTGGGAGGCTGAGGTCGCAGTGAGCCAAGATCATGCCATTGCGCTACAGCCTGGGCAACAAAAGTGAAATGCAGCCTCAAAAATACCCCCACTACACAGGGAAAATGATAAAATGTAAAACAAGTGACAACTCTTAGCTGTTATCAAAACTCAGAGTAAAAAAAAAAAAAAAAAAAAAAAAAATTAACCATTGATACATGCAACAACACAAAAAAAAAAAAAAAAAAAAAAACCGATGACGACCCAAATGACAAAAACCTGAACCCAAGGTGGACCCACCTAAGAGGCGGCCGAGGGCCTTCAGAAGGGAAGCTATCACGCTAGTTTCCTTAAGCAGTAGCATTCATACAGATTTTCGGCTGACGTCACCACAGCCATTTCCACATAAAAATGAACCACAAACATGTACAGTCATCTTTTATTTCATAAATACATTAACACAGGTGATTTCTTAGGCAAATTACAAATACATTAGAAATTATACAAAAGCAAAATACTCAAGGACTTTAACACACCTGCCAAAATCGGTTGTATAAGGTCAAGCAACACTTCTCCCAGTCTGCCCAAGACTGCAAAACCCTCCCTGTTAAAAAAAAAAAAGTTTACCTTCTCTCCCTTCTATATAAAGGACCCAAAAATTTAAATGTCAATGCCCAATGTGAAGTGCAGATCCTCTTCTTTCCTAAAGGAAAAGAAATAATGATTAAACTCCTGAAATCCTACTTCAGCTTAAAATCTGGTACCCTAGACATGTCTCCTGCATGGTTTGTCTCCCCAGTCACTGTCCACAGGACTCTGGGAAGCTGTAGGAATATGCAGGCGCAGACACGAGGCCCCGCTTCATCTCCAACGTTGTGGAAAGGGACTGCACATCACGGGGCAGAGCCCTATGCTCCCCTGCGCCACTTGGACAGAGCCTGGGGAGAGTGACCTCCCAGGGTATCCACGTTGGATTGCTCCTTAGTGAGGAATTGGAGTAACTGAGAAATCCAATGTTGCTAACCATCCACAACATTTTCAAGAGCTAGAACCTTTTTCTCAGGTCAGGCTACACATGTGGATAAAGCTCATTAGGGTTCCTACAGTTCATTAGGGTAGCTTTTACTACCTTGTACCCTCTTAATGAACTAACTAAAAAAATTAATTTTTATAGAACATACAGAACCTATGTTGAAGAAGTTACGTCAAATGCCTATAAAAATGCAGCAAAGTTTATATTTGGATATATCAAACAAAAGTATTCCTCTGAGAATGAGTAAATGCCTGAGGTAAATCCTGACCAACTAGAATGAAAGGTCTCTTCAATCCTACTTCCATTACAGAAATCACTGACAAAGCTGATAAGTCAAAACTATTCAAAGATTTACTTACCAAGTGTTACTTGGAATACTTAACGAATCCTGCAAAAGAAGGTATTAATCGATTAGTACAGTAAAGCACTAATTTTTTTCAAAGAGGGGCCTATCACCGTTGCCCAGGGTTGGAGGGCACAATCATAGGTCATTGCAGCCTGCAACTCCTGGGCTCAGCTTCCCCAGTAGCTGCGACTCCAGCTACCTACCATCATGCCTGGCTACTTTTTAATTTTTCTGAAACATGTAAGACTTCAATCCAGATTCGATGCTCTAGAAGGCTGTTTCCTGCATGGTTTGTCTCCCCAGTCATTGTCCACAGGACTCTGGGAAGCTGTAGGAATATGCAGGCGCGGACACGAGGCCCAGCTTCATCTCCAACGTTGTGGAAAGGGACTGTACATCATGGGGCAGAGCCCTATGCTCCCCTACGCCACTTGGACAGAGCCCGGGGAGAGTGACCTCCCGGGTGTATCCACGTTGGATAATCTGTGTAACGAATAAAATTTACAGACCCTAATAGGAAACGGTTTCATCTAGCTGTTACAGGCTTCCCAGAGAAATCCATGTTACTACAGGTCTTTAAAGCGCAAACGAGTTTCCATCCTGTCCACAGGTGGCGTGTTAAAAAAAAAAAAAAATCGGCTTATAGACCGATAACATGATGTATTCAGCCATTCTGATTACTTTTCAAAAGGCAGTTAGTACTATGCGGATGGTGCAGAAGCAGAGACAATTAGGCTTAGCTATCCTATATTCAAATCAAACACGTGGACTCGTTAAACTACCCCCAAGCCGGCCAGGCACAGTGGCTCACGCCTTTAATCTTAGCGCTTTGGGTGGCCAAGACATACGGATGGTCTAAGCTCAGGAGTTCGAGACCAGCTTGGGCAAGATACAAAAAAAAAATCAGCTGGATGTGCTGGCGGGCGTCTATATCAGCTACGCAGTACGCTGAACCATGAAAATTGCTTGAACCCGGGAGGCGGAGGTTGTAGTGAGCCAAGTTCGCGCCACCGCACCACAGCCTGGACAATGCGAAATTGTCTCAAAAAGACCCAAAATTCAACATGGAGAAACCCCGTCTCTACTAAATATACAAAGCTAGCTGGGCGTGGTGGCGCATGCCTGTAATCGCGGCTACTCGGAAGGCTGAGGCAGGAGAATCGCTTAAAGCCGGGAGGCGGAGGTTGTGGTAAGCCGAGATCATGTCACTGCACTCCAGACTGGGTGACAAAGCCAGACTCCGTCTCCAAAAAAAAAAAAAAAAAAAAAAAAAAAAAAAAAAAAAAAGAAAAAACAAAAAATAACATGATTTTTCATAGGGAAGCCTGATTACTGATCCAAGGTCCTAGAACTACAGCTCACCTAGCAGGAATCTGATAATACTCACCGAGCCGAAGAACCCACGGTTGCGACTCTGTCTGCAAGAGGCCGAGCTACTGCAAAGCATCCTTATTTAAACCTTACGCAGTGCCCGGAAGTCATGGAATGTCTACTGCGCGTGCGCAGGAACACGCGCAGTTATAGAATCAGAAACTCACTGAGGCTTCTGGGAATCTACTGCAGATTGAGCTCCACCCCTGCCTGTCTCGGAGGTCTCTGTTCGGTAGTGGAACCTTCGCGGGACCTTGCTGGGGAATGTACATTACATATAGGTTTGTAGATACGTAGCTGCGGAGGATGTTTACTTCTGTGCAATCACTGCGCCCAGTCTGTAGGGCATACCCTTAGATAAACTGGCCAAAATGTTTTTGAGGTAGCCTAACGTGGTGGCTCACGCCTGATTCTAGCACTTCTGAAGGCCGTGGTGGGGGCGGATCGCTTGAGGCCAGGAGTTCGAGACCAGCCTGGGCAGCATGGCGAAATCCCTTCTCTACAAAAAATACAAACATTCGCCGGGGGTCGTGCCGCGTGCCTCCTGTGCCAGCTACACAGGAGGCTGAGGCATGAGAATCGCTTGAACGCAGGAGACGGTGGTTGCAGTGAGCCGAGATCGCGCAAGTGCGTTCCACCCTGGACGACAAAGAGCCTTTGTCTCTAAGTAAATAATTAAATAACTCTGTCGCCAAATAAATAAATATAACGTTGGAATAAGAATGCAAAATGTAAAAATACATCTAGAGAAATAAGGAGTCTCAAAAGGAATTGAATCTGTCCTGTCACCTGTGAAAGAAATAATTTGATAAATGTGAAGGTAAATAAGATGAAAGTGACCCTAGACGAATCATAAAAACTCCTGGCCGGGCGCGGTGGCTCACGCCTGTAATCCCAGTACTTTTGGGGCCGAGGCGGCGGTGGGGGTGGGGGGGAAATCACAAGGTCAGAAGTTCAAGACCAGCCTGGTCAACGTCCTGAAACCCCTTCTCTACCAAAGTACAAAAATTAGCTGGGCGTGGTGGCGCGCGCCTGTAGCCTAGCTACTCCGGAGGCTGAGGCAGGAGAATCGCTTGAACCCGGGAGGTTGCAGTGAGCCGAGATCGCACCATTGCACTCCAGCCTGGATGACAGAGCGAGACTCCGTCTCCAAACAAAGAAACAAACAAAAACCTCTTTTGGACGACAGTGTGAATGTACTTAAAAGCACTGCCCTATACTTTTTTTTTTTTTTTTGAGATGGAATCTTGCTCTGTCCACCCAGGCTGGAGACGGTGCCGTGGCGGGATCTCGGCTCACTGCAACCTCCGCCTCCCGGGTTCAAGCAGTTCTCCTGCTTCAGCCTCCAGAAAAGCTGAGACTACAGGCACGTGCCACAATGCCCAGTAAATTTTTGTATTTTTAGTAGAGATGGGGTTTCACCATGTTGACCAGGCTGGCCTGGAACTCCTGACTTCAAGTGATCTGTCTGCCTTGGCCTCCCAAAGTGCTGGGATTACAGGCGTGAGCCACCGCGCCCGACCTCCCCTATATATTTTAAACTAGTTAAAATGCTAAGTTTTAGGTATATTTTAGCATAAACAAAACCAAATATGAAGAAATAGACAAAGAATGCTTAAGATATATATACATGTGAAATGTTGCAAATATAGAATTTTGAGTATGATGTAAGGTGAGAAAAATGTTCGGTAAAGGGACAGCGCTATCACAGCTGGGCTATCTCGGGTAGTAACATTTATGATGTTCCTCCTATATATTAAATTTTGTTCTGAATGCTTTATTACATACATTATTTGCTATCACAGCACTTCTAAGACATCGGTATATTACCCAGACTTTAAGATGCAAAACAGGCCCAGAGCAGTGGTTCTGTTTTTTTTTTTTTTTTTAAAGATGAGGTTTCGGGCCGGGCGCAGTGGCTCAAGCCTGTAATCCCAGCACTTTGGGAGGCCGAGGCGGGTGGATCACGAGGTCAAGAGATCGAGACCATCCCGGTCAACATGG